GGAACACATCGGTGCCAGCGGTGATGAGATACGACCAGTATTAATGAAGGGAGATCAACGAGAATGCTTCCCTTAATAAATAGTTCAAAATAAAATTGAGTGCCTCCTGGCGGAGGGCAGACACACTAGCCGAGGCGAGTGGTGTGTCTGCCCTCCACCAGGCAGCGCGATCCACCTTCCCGACGTTTTTGTGGCTAGGTGGCGTAAGCTACCGCCGGATCCAAAGGGCTCAGCCGTATTTATCTATCCATCCATCCGCCGTTACCAAGTTGCGCGCGCACACGCTTCTTAGTAACCCGTGGCAACGGTTACTTTTTTTTCCTTCTCTTTGTTTGTCCCCCCGGTTTCTTTCTTTGGCCCGCTAATTGCTCGTTTGTTCTTTTGTCTTTCTCTTTGTTTCTTTCTCTCTCCTCCTCGCTCATCCTCCTCCGCTTTCCTTTGTTCCGAGAGGCCGGCCCCAGTGTGGTTTCGGTTGTGCTTCGGAGCAGTCGCGTAGTCACCCGTGTCCAGCTCCTGCTTTGTTCTTTGTTCCGAAATCGGTCTTCTTCTTCTTCGGACCCCGAACGTCGCCTCACGGTTCCTGCGTTCGTCAAAGGGCCTCCTTTCGTTCGACACATTGGGGTAAGTGTACGTCCATTATACTATCCTTTAATTCGAGTTTTTTATTCCGATTATTTGCCAAAAGAAAGTGGTTTAGGTTTTTCAGCAAAAAAAGAATAATAATTCCGTTTAAATTCAAAATAATTTGTACGCCTATTGGACAATTTCTTTAGCTTTCGGAAAGTGCTCAAAGTGTCAGTCTATAAATGCGAATAAATAATAGCTCCCCACTGCTGCTCCAGAAACGAAGTATATTTTTTCTGCAACTGTTCTTTCCTCCGTGCGACGTCGTGTGTTGCCGTCCCCACGTCGCTGCAGATATGGCGCTTTCTAAACTGAAACGCGTCGACATTCCTGCTCTTGTTTAAATCATACGCTGCTATAAAAATCCCTCTCTAACTCAATGACTGCTTGGCCGTGAGGGAAAGCGCGCCCTTGAGTATTAATTAGGCGCGTACAGAAGCTTATTTAATCGCAAACTAAGGCGCTAATTGTTCCCTACCTCTCGTCCGAAGCAGGGACTTGTAGCACGAATTGGTGATTTTTTGTGATTTTTTGAAGGAGCAGGGGAGGCACGTTTAGAGCGAAATTCATGCATTGGCCGTGTGGGAAAGCGCGACTTTGAGTATTAATTAGGCGCGTACAGAAGCTTATTTAATCGTAAAATAAGGCGCTAATTGTTCGCTAACTCTCGCCCGAAGCAGGGACTTGTAGCACGAATTGGTGATTTTTTGTGATTTTTTGAAGCAGCAGGGGAGGCACGTTTAGAGCGAAATTCATGCATTGGCCGTGTGGGAAAGCGCGACTTTGAGTATTAATTAGGCGCGTACAGAAGCTTATTTAATCGCAAACTAAGGCGCTAATTGTTCCCTACCTCTCTCCCGAAGCAGGGACTTGTAGCACGAATTGGTGATTTTTTGTGATTTTTTGAAGCAGCAGGGGAGGCACGTTTAGAGCGAAATTCATGCATTGGCCGTGTGGGAAAGCGCGACTTTGAGTATTAATTAGGCGCGTACAGAAGCTTATTTAATCGCAAACTAAGGCGCTAATTGTTCCCTACCTCTCGCCCGAAGCAGGGACTTGTAGCACGAATTGGTGATTTTTTGTGATTTTTTGAAGGAGCAGGGGAGGCACGTTTAGAGCGAAATTCATGCATTGGCCGTGTGGGAAAGCGCGACTTTGAGTATTAATTAGGCGCGTGCAGAAGCTTATTTAATCGTAAAATAAGGCGCTAATTGTTCGCTAACTCTCGCCCGAAGCAGGGACTTGTAGCACGAATTGGTGATTTTTTGTGATTTTTTGAAGCAGCAGGGGAGGCACGTTTAGAGCGAAATTCATGCATTGGCCGTGTGGGAAAGCGCGACTTTGAGTATTAATTAGGCGCGTGCAGAAGCTTATTTAATCGTAAAATAAGGCGCTAATTGTTCGCTAACTCTCGCCCGAAGCAGGGACTTGTAGCACGAATTGGTGATTTTTTGAAGCAGCAGGGGAGGCACGTTTAGAGCGAAATTCATGCATTGGCCGTGTGGGAAAGCGCGACTTTGAGTATTAATTAGGCGCGTGCAGAAGCTTATTTAATCGTAAAATAAGGCGCTAATTGTTCGCTAACTCTCGCCCGAAGCAGGGACTTGTAGCACGAATTGGTGATTTTTTGTGATTTTTTGAAGCAGCAGGGGAGGCACGTTTAGAGCGAAATTCATGCATTGCCCGTGTGGGAAAGCGCGACTTTGAGTATTAATTAGGCGCGTGCAGAAGCTTATTTAATCGTAAAATAAGGCGCTAATTGTTCGCTAACTCTCGCCCGAAGCAGGGACTTGTAGCACGAATTGGTGATTTTTTGTGATTTTTTGAAGCAGCAGGGGAGGCACGTTTAGAGCGAAATTCATGCATTGGCCGTGTGGGAAAGCGCGACTTTGAGTATTAATTAGGCGCGTACAGAAGCTTATTTAATCGTAAAATAAGGCGCTAATTGTTCGCTAACTCTCGCCCGAAGCAGGGACTTGTAGCACGAATTGGTGATTTTTTGTGATTTTTTGAAGCAGCAGGGGAGGCACGTTTAGAGCGAAATTCATGCATTGGCCGTGTGGGAAAGCGCGACTTTGAGTATTAATTATGCGCGTGCAGAAGCTTATTTAATCGTAAAATAAGGCGCTAATTGTTCGCTAACTCTCGCCCGAAGCAGGGACTTGTAGCACGAATTGGTGATTTTTTGTGATTTTTTGAAGCAGCAGGGGAGGCACGTTTAGAGCGAAATTCATGCATTGGCCGTGTGGGAAAGCGCGACTTTGAGTATTAATTAGGCGCGTGCAGAAGCTTATTTAATCGTAAAATAAGGCGCTAATTGTTCGCTAACTCTCGCCCGAAGCAGGGACTTGTAGCGCAAATTGGTGATTTTTTGTGATTTTTTGAAGGAGCAGGGGAGGCACGTTTAGAGCGAAATTCATGCATTGGCCGTGTGGGAAAGCGCGACTTTGAGTATTAATTAGGCGCGTACAGAAGCTTATTTAATCGTAAAATAAGGCGCTAATTGTTCGCTAACTCTCGCCCGAAGCAGGGACTTGTAGCACGAATTGGTGATTTTTTGTGATTTTTTGAAGCAGCAGGGGAGGCACGTTTAGAGCGAAATTCATGCATTGGCCGTGTGGGAAAGCGCGACTTTGAGTATTAATTAGGCGCGTGCAGAAGCTTATTTAATCGTAAAATAAGGCGCTAATTGTTCGCTAACTCTCGCCCGAAGCAGGGACTTGTAGCACGAATTGGTGATTTTTTGTGATTTTTTGAAGCAGCAGGGGAGGCACGTTTAGAGCGAAATTCATGCATTGGCCGTGTGGGAAAGCGCGACTTTGAGTATTAATTAGGCGCGTGCAGAAGCTTATTTAATCGTAAAATAAGGCGCTAATTGTTCGCTAACTCTCGCCCGAAGCAGGGACTTGTAGCACGAATTGGTGATTTTTTGTGATTTTTTGAAGGAGCAGGGGAGGCACGTTTAGAGCGAAATTCATGCATTGGCCGTGTGGGAAAGCGCGACTTTGAGTATTAATTAGGCGCGTGCAGAAGCTTATTTAATCGTAAAATAAGGCGCTAATTGTTCGCTAACTCTCGCCCGAAGCAGGGACTTGTAGCACGAATTGGTGATTTTTTGTGATTTTTTGAAGGAGCAGGGGAGGCACGTTTAGAGCGAAATTCATGCATTGGCCGTGTGGGAAAGCGCGACTTTGAGTATTAATTAGGCGCGTGCAGAAGCTTATTTAATCGCAAACTAAGGCTCTTAATGTTCGCTACCTCTCGTCCGAGGCACGCACTTCTAGCACGAATTGGTGATTTTTTAGGATTTTTTGAAGGAACGTTGTCTAACCTGGAAGGCAGATAGTAAACAAACGGGCGCGACGGGATTTCTAGATCGAATTAAACGCACATAGCAGTTATTCATTCGTTGTTCCACGCAAGAAATGCGTGTACATGACGCTGGGAATAAGAGAAATTTTAGAAGCGAATACTTTTTTTTTTAATCAATATTTGTTACGCGAAGAAGAGATTTCGAAGCGCGGCCGAGCGCTTTATAGTCCGGACTCCTATTCAAACCACGAGAGAGAGAGATAGAAGCATTCTCAAATACCTTTCCTTGCATGGTGTCTAGCGGTCCAGATGTTATCCAAAGTCCAGAGTAATCCAAAGTTCACCAGGAAAGTGCACACACACACACACGTTCACGGAAGCGTCCACGTTGAGACGGGGCACGGCCGTTTTGAAATCACCCGAGACTGGGGTAGAAGCATCAAATCGTACAAGGGACAGAAAATAGACATTTTCTGTCCCTTCTACTATTTCAAGCTTCTTCTCTACCCCAGTCTCGGGCTATTTCAACGTTGTTAACATTCACCAGCTCGCCCGCGCACCCTCTTCTCTTGACTCGCAACGAAGCGCACACACAGACGTGGATTTGGGCGGCCGTTTGTGAAGTTTGGCGACTGAGGTAGGGACTAGCGGCAGAGAGAGGATTTCTGGAATAGAAAAGAAAAGTGTTGTCATTTCAACAAAGGGTACAATAGATATTTTTGTTTTTAGATTCGGTCGGTTTTAATTAAAGAGTTGTAATTCTAGGCTCTAGTTGAAAAAGGTCGACACAGAACGTAATAGCACCCTGGGTACCGTTACGACGTGCGTCGACATTTTTGCGCGGGTTTTGACCGTTAGGGGTTTGGAGAAGGTATCATCATCATGATCCAGGGTTTCGGTTTGGGTTCTGTGTGTTTTCTCACTCCAGGTCACGTGATGTTTTTGTCGGAGCAAGGATGAGTCACCCTCGCCTCAACGGCGCCTGGCTGTTGCTGTGCGTGTGCCCGGGCCCTGTCTGGGCCCGGGCACACGCCCTGAAAGTGAGCCCGGGCCCTGTCTGGGCCCGGGCTCACTTTCAGAAGGAGCCGAGAACGGAAGAAGGTCGGATTACCGTAACTCGAGAAGGTATTTGCTCATTTCCTTGTTCTTTGCCCAAAGTCGTTGTTTGTGTGAGCGCGTGCGTTTTGCGAGGAGATTATGTTGTGCTCGGCGGTTGGTAGATGGAAATGTTGTTCTCGGAGAGATTCTGCACGCTTTTTCGAGTGTCGGCAAAGAAGGCTTTTAATGGGATCTACTATATTGATATAGGCGCACATAGGCGGAGCGGCTGGTCGTTTTTTTGAAGGCTCTTTACCAGAGCGCGAGCAAGAATTACCTATGCGTGTTTGATGCAAGTTCTTTTTTTGATAGGTCCATGCTCGGCAAAGATATAAAGTGTATTTTGAAGCGCGTATTCCATCGCGAAATGATGGAATACCAGTGATGTGATAATTGCGCCAAACTGCACCAAGGGGCTAACCTTGCTACATCCTGCTACATTTCACCGAAATATGGCTAATCTGCGCCAAAGAAGCAATTTTGGTCGCCTTTCAATAACGAAACTAAACTGAGAACCGTAATTGTGTAAGCTAGGTCGCACAAGACGCCACCCGACACAAAGTACCCTGTATCAATCGTCTATTTGGTCTTGCATGATTTTTCCCGACGTCTCGCGTTTCGTGTACTCGTCGTCTCAAAAATCTCGTCTCTAGTGTATCGGATGCCAAACATGCCGTCATGCTGTGAAACAAAACCACGTTTTTGCGCGGCGGGAGTTACTTTTTGAGCTTCGTGCGACGTCGTGTGTTGCCGTCCCCACGTCGCTGCAGATATTTCTAAACTGAAACGCGTCGACATTCTTGTTTAAATCATACGCTGCTATAAAAATCCCTCTCTAACTCAATGACTGCTTGGCCAAGTTTTGATTACTTAGGTTTTCCTGGTGGGCTTTCTTTCGAGGGGGACCCCGGTACGTGAAAAATGTGCCGCGAAAGAAAGTTGGTGAAGAGAAGTGAGCTAAAGCAAAGAAGGCAATGTCTGAACCCGCACAGCGTGCATGGGCGACCGTTGGAGCCGACTTCTTGCACGAATTCTTTTGTTCTTTTCACGCGAAACACGGAATCGAGTTTTTTTCCCCTCATTCCTGCTTGTAGGTTTCACTGACGATGTTTCCCGGATGGGAGACGAAACGTTTGATTAAATTGTTAATCTTGTTGAGTAAAGTCGGACCAGTTTTTTTTTTATCAAACACGGAATTGGCGGCGGCGCGGAGCTAGGAAGCCGGCCTCTACGAACTCAAACGTTTCATCACTCTCTGACGCACGGAAGAAAAGAAAAAAAGATATGTGTATGGCGTAAGAACGTTCGGTGCATCTTTAATGTAGGGCGCTAAAGATTGTCTTTTTGTGCAGCGCAAGAGCGAGTTGCACGGCTGGCCCTCCGTTTCAAGTGACCTCCTTCAGCTGCGGATGACCTGTGCTTAATCAAGACCGCTTGAATGGCAACTGAGAACTTGCTCCAAGCAAAGAGTGTTTTTATGAAATCGTGTTAGCTCGTGCGAATTCACTGAATAGGAACAAGTGTGTTTTCATCGAGACAGCTCGTCCGGAAACTTGCATTGTCGGCCTAATAAAGTTTGACGTCAAGCCTAATAAAACGTGAGGTTAAAACGGAGAAATCTGTTGTTTTGTATTTTGCTTGTGAGGACGAAGCCCCTGCTGTGCACACCTGCGGAAACGAAGTAAGTACCTTATCAGTTTGTTCAGAGATTTGATTTTTTCCCGTGGTAATCGTGAAAAAAAAAAAGAGCGAGGACATAAATTCTTCTTTCTTATGTTTGAGCTTATTGCAAGACGCTATGAGCGGCGTTCTATTATATCTATACATAGCCTTTGAACTTGTGTTTTTTCTTCTTTCTTTTTGTGATCTCCAGTGTACCAGATTTGTCGGTTTACTGTTATTTTTTTTGTTCCTTCTCGTCGCACCCTGCTTGGGGATTGGAAATGGCCTGCAGTGTAAATGAATAGAAACCAAATATAAAAAAAGAATTTAAATACTTCCCGACGCCATAGGGTCTTGATCTGCTTACAAATGCATTTAAATACTCTTTTCCCAGAACCATAACAGAATGAAACAGCCTACCTCATCGCAGATTTATATCTGACAATGTTTTGTAGTCGATCGAGCGTTTGTTTCATGTGCAACTCTTTGCATGGTGTTTTAATTTTCCTCTTGCCCACTACTGCCACTCCTCCCAACTTTGTTGTGAGCTATTACATTACAATTTTCCCCTGTTCCGCTCTCCCATTTTACGGATTACCTGGTGTTGCGTTTTTAATATAATATAACAATCTGAGGTTAAACGGACAAAGAGGCCCCTGCTGTGCACACCTGCGGAAACAAAGTAAGTACCTTATCAGTATTATTCAGAAATTTGACTTTTTCCTGTGGTAATCGTGAAAAAAAAAAAAGAAATGTGTTTTTTTATGTGTGTGCTCGCCCAAAAGCGAGCACATGCATTCTTTTAACGTTCTCTGTTGCGCTTATTGCAAGACGCTGTCAGCGGCGTTGTATTATCTATACAGCCTTTGAACTTGCGTTTTCTCTTCTTTTTTTGTATCTCTGTACTTTGTATTCAAGTATATCAATCCACAAGTGCTAGCTGGGTCATTTATTTTAACCAGGCGAGTGGGATGTTCCGAGGAACATTCTAGGCGCGTCTCATCGATGTAGCTAATCTAATAAGAAAGTTACGAATAAAAAGTTTACGTGTAAGGCTTCATTCTGTGGTGTTGTGATTTGGCATATGCTCGTATAAAGAAAACTACGATAGTTAGAAGGTTCTAATTCGCAGCGAATGATCGCGCTCTGAATTTAGACGCACTGTTAAATTTTCATCGCTCCAGCTCGTCTAGAACTCGTTATACTCGCGAAAACAGGTTTTTGGGAATCTGCTTGGAGATTAAAAACCCCGACCAAGTTCAATCGTTCACCCGTGAATATTCAAGACCGCTGGAGTGCATTCATCGATTGTGGTCGTGAAAACAACATCATATGAAAGTGTGTGTGCAGTGAAACCGTGTCAGCTCATCTCAAGTTTCGCGAAATAAACGACGTTTGAAAGTTTTCGGATCGAAGCCAGCCATTCGCATTCCTCACTTTAGGCACCGATCCTTTCTTCGATCTCGCTTCATTAATACTCGTCGTATCTCGTCACCGCTAGCACCGATGTGTTCCTTGGTCTTTCTAGACTCTACGGACACCACTTTGAACGTGTGTAATAAAAGGTTTCGCGATGCTACGACGCTCTTGGCGTGGGCATGGTCATGGCGGCCAATTGTACTTTCCGAACATGTGTTCGGACCTCCGAGACTGAATTTTCGTTTCCGAGCCGCGATGTTGGTGTCAAACGTGAGCACGCGTTCCGTAGAAGACCCGACGACTGTAGTTTGCCTCGGATCGAGTCGATAGTTTAATCTACGAGCACTGATGCGACTTCCCGCACGAAAGCAGTCATTTTCAGGTTCGATATTGCTCACCGCTTCACCATTTGCTACCACAATTTGCTTTTTTGTTCTGAAGCGCTCCCTCGGGTAAAAGGAACGTTCGCTATGCGCGCGAGATTATTTTAATTCATTCATCTCGTGCGGCGCGCGCTCGGCGGAGCCGCTAGTCGTTTGAAGGCTCACCAGAGCGCGAGCAAGACTTCAAAGAGCTGCCGCTCGCTCGTAATTAGAAAACCATTATAGGTACGTACAACTATCAACTTGTTGGGAAGGGACAAATACACATATGTGCTGCAAGAGGGCCTCCACACAACCCTACAGAGCTTTTTGCAGACATGCCCCTACAGTACAACTGGCCCGACACTTTCTATTTTGTCCCCTTCTGCACTTTCTGGCGCAAGATGAGCTAAAGTGAAGCACGAGTAACCTTCTAGGTTGCTATATTTCAGTTTGAACCCTCAAGCTACGTCCCTCTTCCCTCGACGGCCAAAATTTGAACGCAGGCATGGTTACTGCGGAATACAAAAAGTCTGCCTTTTGTCTCCGAGGGACGTTCATTCTGTGTTATGGTCGTCTTTTCCAGAGACGGTGAGGACAAATACACATCTGTGCTGCAAGAGGGCCTCCACACAACCCTACGGAGCTTTTTGTAGACATGCCCCTACAGTACAACTGGCCCCACACTTTCTATTCTGTCCCCTTCTGCACTTTCTGGCGCAAGATGAGCTAAACTGAAGCACGAGTAACCTTCTAGCTTGCTACCTGTTCAGTTTGAACCCTCAAGCTACGTCCCTTTTCCCTTGACGGCCAAAATTTGAACGCAGGCGTTGTTTCTGTCTGAAAGCAAAAGTCTGCCATTTGTCTCCGAGGGACGTCCATTCTGTGTTACGGTGGTCACTTTGCACAGCCAGGATAACGCTGTCTGCAGTCGTGCTGGGACGTCCTTGCTGCGGCTTGGCCGACACATTTGTTTTCTCGGCTTCCGTACTTTCCCACGTCGGCTTGTTTCAAGTCCAGCTACAGCATTCTTGTCGAATGGTACCTGTGAATTCTGAAGGCTTGATGTCGACCTGTATTCTCTGCACAGCCCCCTACGGGGTTCTGCAGAAAGCCCTGTCTTAGTAAATCACGTAGGTTTTCAATGAAGTGTGTCTCCACATCTTACGGGGGTGGGCAAGCAACACCGAGGACACAGTCTTCTTGTCTGCAGTGCCTCTTTATTCTCAGACACTACAAAACCCCACGCCACTGTTCAAAGGCTCGAAAAATCAGGACTACCTTCAGCTTTTGCGTTCGTACATAAACTTTGACACCAGCTGTGTTAACCAACCTGGGCTCGTTCATTACAGGAGGAAAGCAAGCACTCGTATCAAAAATGAATCGTCGCTCTAGCACTCTTCGTCCCATCGTCCCATCTCCATGAATCGTCCCATCTCCATGACTTGCACGGCCTGTAAATTACTAGAACATATCATAACCAAACAACTCGTTTCTTTCTTAGAAATGCATAATGTTCTAAACCCCAACCAACATGGTTTCCGCAGTGGCCTGTCAACGGTAACCCAGTTGATTGAATTTTACCATGAATTAGCCACTTACGTTAACAACCGTACGCAGGTTGATGCAGTTTTCATCGACCTGTCGAAGGCATTCGACCGGGTACCTCACCGCAGACTGATTAAGACATTAATAGATCTCGGAGTTCCCTTTTCTTTGACTAAGTGGATCAATGCATATCTTTCAAACCGTCAACAATTTGTGGATATAAATGGTACTTACTCAGGGCTGTTAGATGTTCATTCTGGGGTGCCCCAAGGTTCTGTCTTAGGGCCCCTACTTTTTTTAACTTACGTTAACAGTTTGTTCCCATCCAATGAAGATGTCCCAATTAAGCTAAGAATGTTTGCCGACGACTGCGTCATTTACAGTCCCGTTGTTGAAATACAAGACCAGACAAAAGTGAGTAAAGCACTGGCTAACATTGCGTCTTGGTGTCGTGAAAATAACATGAAGATTAATATTAGCAAAACTCAGTACATGCACATAACAACAAAAAGAACTGTCTTAAACTTTAGCTATGAGGTTGCTGGCGTAGTATTGACTGAAGTGGATAGTTACAAATATTTAGGAGTGATTTTGTCTTCTGACCTCGGGTGGAAAAGGCATGTGGAGTATGTTAAAGAGCGGGCAACTAACAAATTGTGGTACCTGAAGAGAACGCTGGGTAAAACTCCCCCTTCCGTTAAAATTCTTGCGTATAAGACAATTATTAGACCTGTGTTAGAATACGCGTCTGCAGTGTGGAGCCCATGGCAGAGCTCTCTGGTCAGAGAACTCGAATATAATCAGTCGCTAGCTGTGCGTATTGTTTATTCAGATTTCAGACGAACTACGTCTGTGACCGAACTTAAAAGGAGAGCCAATATAAGCCCTCTGTCAAACAGAAGAGAGAGCCAACGGTTGAAGCTGTTCTTTCAGATTTTCAAGAACTGTATAAAAATTGATGGCTCCGTTTACTTAAAACCAAAAAGTTTTTACTCGGAACGCTTGCATCACTCAAAGACCGTAGCCCCCTATTAAAGCTCGAATAAATAGCTATAAACAATCTTTTTTTGTGCATACAATTGATTTGTGGAACAGCCTTCCCGGCGATGTTGTCGATATTGATTCACTCTGTTCTTTCGAAAAAGCCGTAGATAATATTTTTCAGTGCCGAGATTGCTTTTATTGCTCTTATGAAATTATTTTACTGTCTTTATTTTTTATTACTGCTGTTACATTTACTGCTATACTGTTATTGTTATTACTAGTATTACATTTGGTTACTGTATTGTTTCTCTTCTTTCGAATATGTCGTAGATATTAATTTTCGGTGCCAAGATTGCTTTTTGTTTAGAACTGTTGTGTTTATAATGTGCATGTGTGACACTGTATCACCCCACTCCTGCCTTGGCCCTATATTGGGCTGGCAGTATTGATAAATAATAATAAAAAAAAAAAAAAAAAAAAACATGCCAAAATTAATGTGCTTTTCTGGTTCAATTATGAAATAATCGCAATAGAACCATTTGTATTTACTGTGCAGGCGGTTTCTTTAATGCAACTTCTCAATTACCTAAAAGAAATGGTAATCTGAAGAGTCATCTTTTTTCACTAAAAAAAACAACAAAAA